ATGGATTTTATGTGAACAACCATGCAATTCTGTAAGCTATATTTCATGCAAATTGCTTCCAGGTTTAATCTCTTAGCACCTATTTTTTACACATTTCTCGGGGGTATGTCCCCAGACCCCCCCCCCGGCTAGCATTAGTATGTTTTGCATGCTGACTGTGCTTCGCACAATATCTTTTGGCTTTTGATCTCATAAATTAGATCCCCCCCCCTCCAGCTCATGGGTGCATATTCTGCAATTACACATATGTGAAATTATTCAAAAGCACCTAATTTGTCTAGGAAGCTTACATTGCTCTACTTCTACTTTTCTCTTCACGTAAAATTACTTGGGCTGGTTTCTCACCTCAATCATGGCATCGATAGAAATCTCTTCTGGGTTAACAGACTGGACGTCAATACATTTTTGAGCGTCTAACGACAGCCACCGTGTTGAGCCGAGTTCAAAGGTTCTTGTCGCATTCTGGCATTCCGTTTTCACCGTACACCTACATATGAAAAGCAAAGGACGGACGTAAGTTGATTACGAATACAAATTATCAAAAGTAATATATGTAGACGTCAAAATATAATTGTATAATATGGAGAAATATATCATTCCTTAGTTAAGTGGTTGTAATTCAACGTTTCGTCATCAATAACGGGCGGCAGAGAGTTTTATTTATAATTCTGTCTATACTTAACATTATATGAATAAATGGACGAATTGCTTTGATACAATCTGAAAACGAAATGTTTTGAGGTAAAAAAATATCACAAGGGTTATGATTCTATTCTTTATTGTAAACAACAGTTTAACATTTAGAATGATCCATATCTTTGAATGGTGGAATTCTATAACGTATTTTACTGTTTTTGTTTAAATGCTAATTTTAAGAATTTTCAGTTTTTTGTTTTGTTTTTGACATAAAGAATAACAGAAAAATAATAACAAAAACTAAAAAAAAGCTTGATACAACAGTAACAAAAACGTCAAAATCATGCAAAAGAAGACAAAATAATACAAAGAAAAAATTCAAGACAATGATAATAATAAATAAGACAGAACAGTAATGAGTAAAAAAACGGCTACAAAAACATTTACAGTTACTGACAGACTAGAAGAGAAATTATTTATATAACTCATAATACTTCGCTACCCAGTGGCACAGCGGAATCTCTGCGGACTTAGAATGCCAGAAACTTGGTTTCAATACCCGTGGTGGGCAGAGCACAGATAGCACATTGCGTAGCTTTATGCTTAATTACAAACAAACATAATGCTTCACCAGGTTAATCTAGCATCTTGTCCCTGGTGGCTTAGCAGTACGTCTATGGCTTATAATACAAATCGGGTTTTCGATACCCATGGTGGGCAGAGCATAAATAGCCCACTGTGTAGTTTTGGGCTTAGCAATAAAACAAACAAATCTAGCATCTTCAAGTTTAAATGGTACAAAAGATCTCAAAAGAATTTCAAACTACATTTAAATAAGACGTAAAAGATGTGCGTGGCAAAGTGACAGTTCATAAATATAATAATTCCTTTGTTTTCACTTTGTAACAATATTATTTCAAACTTATGCGTTATATCAGAACTGACAAGACCTAATAAAATGTGAATACACTTCTAATGAGCAGCATAAAAGTTCAAAAATGAAAAACATCATTTGTGGTAAGGCCTACGTTACGTTGTCTGAACGTACTGTAGGATAATTTATTCACTTGCAGACGATCTCATCAGTCAACGCACAATTAAAGCAATTAATAATTCCATCTCTATTACTTTCTAGACATAATTTCATTATGATGTCACAAGTGGTGACATCATAAAGTTTTAAGGGAGGTAAAACGCGTTGCGCAATGTGGGCTCGTGGGTGTACTAAGAAATAAACGTTCAAATCTCTAATCAGTCAGACAAGAGTAGCCAAACGGTTGTCGGTGAGTGCTGTTGACTAGCTGCCTTCCCTCTATTCTATCAATTTAAAATTAGGGATGGTTATACGCTGTGTAGCTTTGCGGGAACATTGTGAAACAAGCAAACAAACTTACCAATAGAAGTTCAGACTCGTTTTTATATGTTGAAAAATGTAACTGAACACTTGTACGTTTGTCTAGATTTATCTTTTTTTTTTTTTTAATAAGTAAGGCTTAGGCATTGCTTTATCTGTTTTAGAGTAAAGGTACATACTAGGCTATCTGCGCTCTGTCCATCACTGAAATTGAACACCGGATTTTAACACTATAAATCATTAAATTTGCCGCCGACCCATTGGGGAATGGGCTTAGGAATATTTAATACAATAATGAAAAGGAAACCAATAACTACAAAAATGTCAAAGAGTTGGCTTTGTTTCAAATCAGTTACGTAGAATTTCTTAATGATTCAATTATAGAATACTGAAGAATAATTAGGATAAAAAACGAACCTTCTTTGTAAGGAACACCATCCACAATAGGGATTTCTAGCCCGTAAGCACCCTTCACACGTACTGTATTGTTGACACCTTTCAATCACCACTTTACTCACCTGTTGGTAAAAACACACACAAAAACAAGAGTATCAGTATGTACGTCACGATATATATATATACGTTATATTAAAACGAATTTGGAGCTTCACCACATTATACAGTCCATGTCACAACGTCCAGTCATGTTCTATCCGACAGTGAATGGTATTGGAATGTAGTTTTCATCGCAAAAGGTCCAGTTGTAAGTTTATCATGTTCAAAGCACATAATGCATCCCAGTTAACTTTCCATAATCTATTTAGTGTACGAAAACAACAGTTTCTTAGCGATCGTTTTAACAGTCCGATAAGTGACTTGATCGGTGCGTCTTCGTGTGAAATAGCATGTAAACCTCTTTAATTTTACAGTTGCTTGAGGTATACGACGGTTGGATGGGAGGTATGACTGGAATCTTCCCGTCTTGATAATTCTAAATCCTCCATCTGAACTCATCTTTATGGTATAAGTATGTGGGTATTTTGGAAAGGGCTACATCACACTATCTATGTAACGCCAGACAATATTAAAATGTAGTTACGCTACAGTGCGATATAATATATTCGTTGTTTGTTACGTTACTTGCTGATTTGCATATTTAAAATCTTTTTAATGCCCAGACAACACAATGTTTTGTATTATTCACCTGTCACCTGTTAGTTTTAAATCGTTCACTCACCCTTCTCCTGTTGTATTATTATTACACACAGGAGATAGAAAAAAACATATACATTATCATTTTCGATGTTTCGTTCTGAAGTTAAAAAAATACTTTATGTGAGGTGATAATAATAAATATTTTAATTATTTAAAAAACTAAATAACAAATATCACCATAATAATGCTTTTATTATAACCTTTAAATATCAAAGTGTTACCTCAGTTAGTTTTCTTATTTAATTAAAGTGACCGTACAAAAAAGTAACATTAAAATGCTCAATAAAAACTATTCTTCAACACACAAAAAGACTTAATATTGTTTTTTTTTTTAATTTGTCATCGACATCATCCAAATCATAGAACATTTTATTTTGTTGAGCCTGTGTTTCGTGTTAAATGATACGTTCCATAAGTTGTTCAACTTGTTTAACACAAAAGTCCCATCTGTTTTTATGTTAAATTTTAAGGTTATTTTTTGATCACGTCATGTTGTACTGGTTCATTTGAGTTCATCTTTAATCGTCGTACTCGATAAACCAAGAAAAACTAGTCGAAATGTGGCAATATTTTCATGGTAGATTTAATACAATCCATTTCGGCATTATCATAGAGAATTAGGTTAAAGAGAATGTCCCTTAGGAGCAATAAAATGTTTCGTGCTTAATTTTAAAAAAAATCGAACTCACACAGCTATTTATTAAACTGTAAACAAATAGCCGGCCTATTTTAGCTGAAGAAGAACATAGAGTAACCATTTTTACTTGTCTTTAACTAAAATAATTAGATATTCTATCTTATAAAACTATCATTCTGATACCTCACCAGATGACGAGCTGATGAGGAGCTCTTTCCATATATAATTTACGGATCCACCTATAATGGTCGAAACTACATATTTGACTTACTGTATAAGGAGAAGCAGCATAAACAAATTTTCTACTGGGATCTAGATGGATGTCTGCAATGATGGGATTTCCAGCATCGACCACAACTTCTTCAAATTCTTCAGCTGTCTCATTACTGTTGAGGAGCACCTACAGCCCCTCCCCACATACACCAATAATATTTTGATATATATATATATATATATATTTATTTATTGATAATACATAATATATATATATAGTACAAGTCAAAACCAACACAAATTAAATAAGTTATCATGATAATATTGCCTTAAATGACATCTACGTCCACAAACATCAAAACTCAAAAGTCCAATGACAGAAGAAGAAAGCTTCAGATATGAATGTAATGATTTATCAAAAACGTAAATCTTGCAATGTAAGCTATATAACAGCTTTGTAATTTTAGGAAATTACTTATAAATATCATTGTATCACACTGCATGATATCACTACAAAAGCAAGTGCAGAGGTAAATAACAGCATTGTGGTATCAAAGTAAACATTTTGTACACTACTGATTAGCAAAATGATTACCAGTGGTAATTTATATCCAAGAAAGATTTAGTTCATAATTACAACACGATAAACATTCGATATGGAAGATGCCTAACGGTATCTCTTGGATAACTTGCATCATGTAGAACAATAAAAGCTTACAGAAATCAAGTAAATCAGCATGATTGTTTTTAACTACCCCAAGAATGTTTGTAAATCAAGTGGGAAAACCGGTAGGTTTTGTTTCCTTTTAGTTCTTGTCAAACGGGGAGTAGAGTGATTTGGATTAACACATGTTTAAATGCAAATATGACCGCGTTTAGTGTAAAAAAAACAACAACAACAAAACAAACTTGATCTAATCGTAATGCATATATTTATTTAAATAAAGACCCACAGTTTATTATTCGGTAGACTGCCTATGGTATTTCTATAAGAAGTCGGGTAAAAGTTTCTACGTAATATTTTTAATTTGTTAATTAACATTTAGAAGACTAAAAAAATCGAAGAATGTCACGCTGTTGTAATTATTTCACTGAAATCATTTTCCACTATACTAAAATGTGTATGATTTATTACCATGTCGTTTTTATAATTGCATTCTCAGTTTCTCTGTGATATTTCGGCTACATAAATGTAACTATATACAAACTAAATATATACAAAAGTAGCCACGTTAGAATAAAAGGGTTAACCATATAAAGATGTGACATAAAAAAGGAGCCAAGTTACATAAAAGGGGGAATCCTTGCAAAGATTTTGTGTAAAAGTAGGTAAGATGAACATGTAAAAATTGGGGAAATCTTGGCCCCCTTTTTATCTCGTGTTTCTGCTTGTTCCTTTATTCTACTTGATAAAACCTGCCTACAATACAGCACACCAACACGTGTCATGTTGGTTCACTCACATGTAACAAACAGTTCACACTTCGTACAGATATTACATAGAGTAGTCATTCGTCAAATGGAACTAGACAAAAGTAAGTTCTAATATTACTTTACTCAGCAACCTTTGACTGAAATTTGGCCAGAGTAAATCGCATAATTTGCTCATTCCAAATCTAAGTACTACTTTCTAAACATTAAATTCGCATCACTTTAATTATCTCAAATAGGTACAGTAATGTTTTGTTTCCACTTAGTTCTTTCTTAATAAAGGGTTTCTTGATTGCACGTGGTAGTCATGACGATAAATCTTCACTCTTACAGTAACTACTTTCGGAAAGAGCGTTTTATCTATACACTTCATAACACAGTAGCGATGCTTATATCACCCCATTAATTAACTAGACACGGTCAGTTATGGGTGGCATTAACGTTTAGGCCATTGTTCAATCATAAAGCATGGATATCGAGCCTTACTCTAAAAAAAAAACAAAAGTTAATCTCATATTCCATTATTAAGTGAACAACAAAATACGAGTTATTTATTTACAGATATGCGGAGATTAAAACTCACAACCATCAGTTAAATTTACGTATCAATACGCTAAAATTACATGCATACAAATCCAATTTGGATGTTAAAACCACGTTATGTATTATTTATACATAGAGGATAAGTTACGTGTGACATTAGTGGAATTGCTGAGATTGTTTGGTACGAATCAAAAACATATGTCTTTCAGGACAATAAATTACTATATTTTTATATTGTAGAAGTTAAAAATATTTTATAGTTAAAACTGGACAATTTACTATCATTAATTAAAGTTGAAATATATTCAAATACCTAATAGTTCAGGATACACAATAATCAGAACTCAAAATGACGTCACTATTATTATAGTATTAACTATGCAAAATTAACTCATATATATATTTATATATCATGTACATTACAGAATACTACTATTTCAATGGTGCAAAGAAAATGTGTTATTAAAAATAAGAACCATATATTCACTTTTCGTAAAGGACAAAAAAAAAATTCACAAACATTCAAAGAAAGCTACAACATACAAGTCTGAAGTTATGGACAAAAGATGTAAACATACGAGTCAGAGCTGCATAAAATGAAATGCTAATAAACAAAGAGTAGTAAACGTTCTGATAATTAAACTGTAGAATATATTAATGTAAACGGTCTGATAATTGAATTGTAGAATGTATCAATGTAAACGTTCTGACAATTAAACGGTAGAATATGTTAATATAAACTTCAGATAATAAAACTGTAGACTATTTTGATGTAAGCATTCTGATAATTAAACTGTAGAGTATGTTAATGTAAACTTTCAGGTAATTAAACTCTAGAATATGTTAATGTAAACTTTCAGATAATTAAACTGTACGGTATGTTAAAGTAAGCATTCTGATAATTAAACTGTAGAGTATGTTAATGTAAACTTTTAGATAATTAAACTGTACGGTATGTTAATGTAAACGTTCACATAATTCAACTGTAGGATATGTTCAGCAGAAGCGTCATTTTACAAATGGCCTTAGGGTGGGACAAAAAAGGCTGACCTCGCGTGGGCCTTCCAATTCAGCTAAGGAGCCTACGCTATGGCGTAAGTTGCATATACGTGTTAATAATGGTTGGAGACGGCTTGAATGGGTAATGAAGAAAAACTTTAATATAAGTTTAACATAACAGCAAATGTACAATGTTTCGACAAGGTTTTGTCATAATCAGGTATAAATGATGATGACAAAACCTTGTCGAAACGTTGTGCATTTGCTGTTGTGTTAAACTTATATTAAAGTTTTTCTTCATTACCCATTCAAGCCGTCTCCAACCATTATTAACACGTATATGCAACTTACGCCATA